TAAATTGCTGCCCCCCGACCAGCATCTCCTCGCTCCTCAGTACAGAGAGGCCCACCTTTGTAAGTTCTCGGTCTTTCTCACTAGGGCGTCGCCAGCTTTTCCGGACTGGGGACGTTTCGTTCAGACTCTGCCTAGCCATTGCGCCTTAGGCTGGGGATGGTCCTCTCAGTCCTCCCCCCCCCCCCACGCCCCGGGCAAGGGGCCGGCGTACCCGCGCACGCCGGCGGGTAACCCTGCCCTGCACCCGGCTGCGCTGCCTGCCTTTCGCTCCAACAGTCGCCGAGGGCCACGTTTTTTTTCTCGGGCAGGATTCTTTTCCCGCCCTACAATAGCGGCCCCGGCCAAGTGCCCTCTTCGGGCGTCCAGGCCCGGGCACTGCCCCAGGAGACGCCGTGGCGACCCTCGTTACCTGCGTGCTGCCGGGGCCCGGCAGATCGCGGCTGCAAGCTCGCCCGAGCAGCCCCAACTTCATTTCCTCCCCCTAGAGGCACGTTTCCCAGAAAAACCTCCCCCCGGCCCCCTCCCGCCTTCCCTACGGGACCAGGAAAAGTCTCAATCTCCATAGAAAAGGTTCCATTTAAGTGCCGGGGGAGGGGGGGGCGCAGTGGGCGGGGCAGAGGTGGTGGAGAGGATTGAATTTCTCTTCGCTAACCAGCCACCGGCGGATAAAGCGCAAGTTTGTGCGCTTCGTCCACCGAGGGATTGCAAACCCAGAAAACAAAGTGTCCAGTGAGATGCGGAGTTTGCCCAGATTTCCCTGCAGATGGGTTTGCGGAAACGCCTGTGATGTGAACTTTCTGCAGATTGTGTATGGAGGGAGCTGAAGGAAAGGAGGAAGGAGAGCGGGGCGGGGAGGGGGCAGTGTGAGCGTGAAATGTGCCCGGGTGTGTGTGTGTGTGTGTGCGCGCGTGTGTGTGTGTTTGGGGAGGGGGGGTTGTGTGCCCAGGCGCGGGGGCGTCACAGCGGGGCAGAGGAAGGCGTCGGGAGCGTCCCGCAGGCTAATTGGTTTGAGACGTTCCGCGAGCGCTGGAAAAGGTCGTTGAAGGAGTTCGCTGCACACACACAAAATAATAATCTTAAAAAAGAGTGCCGGGCATGCGCACAGAGAGGATGCCATATTGGAATGAGGCTGTAGTGGGAGTCGGAGCACCGGAGCGGGCGCGCAAGGGAGGCGGCGGGCGGGGAGCGAGCGAGGCTGAGCGAGCCGGGGCGAGGCAGAGCGAGCGAGCGAGCGAGGCGGGCAGCCCCCCGGCGGCGCCCGAGGCCTGGGTCCACTCCGAGGGGAGGACGAACTTCACCAGGTAGGACGCCGCGCCGGCCGCTGTCCCCGCGCCCAGCCCGCCCGGCGAGCAGACCTCCGGCCCGCAGGTTGAGTGCGCCGGTCAGCTTCTTTTTTCCAGCTTCGGGAAAAAGGGAAGCTCGGGCCAGCCCGGGCGTGGGAGGCTTGAGGAGCGGGTGCCGAGGGAGAGAAGCGAAAGAGAAGAGCTGGAGGGGAGAGCGGCAGCCCTAGAGCAGAGCCCCAAACTCCGCTCTGCGCTCCCGGTTGTCATTTTTGCTGCTCGCGTCCCCTTCCAACAACCTCGTCCCTCGGCTTTGAAAAGCCCGGCCTTGCGGGAGACCGTCTGTAGTTGCAAAGTGTCCTCCTCCCCGGGTGCGAGCTGTCCCCTCCCGCCGCCCACCTTCCTCATTTGTGCGCTCATTTTAGCGACGCAGCCGCCCTTGCTAACCCCGCGCTCCGCGGTCTCTTCCCTTGTCGGGGTCTCTTTCTTCTTTTTTTGGTGTGTGTGTTGGGGGCGGGGAGGGGGAAAATGGTAGGGTGAGGACTGGAGACCAGCCATCAGGGGTGTTAAAAATCGTTTACACATTCGGAGTCGCCCTCTTGGAAACATTTGCCTGTGCAGCTGAAATGAAATTGTCAGTAGTAGTTTAGGAGCGTGCTCCGGCATGGATGATCTTTTTGTTCTTTTTTTTTTTTTCGCTTTAAAGTAATATCCTGTCACTTGGGGCTTTCCTGTTGTCTACTCTCATATGACCTCCTTTCAAAATTGCTAATCTGATCTAGCTTTGGAGTTTATTTTTTAAACGTGTGTGTGTTGGTAAAAATCCGCCAAAAAAAAAAAAAAAAGAAAAAGAAAAGAAAGAGAAAAAGAAAACAACTGTAGGAACTGCTTAGATGTATTTATTGATTTTGGCCCGGGGCGGCGGGAGAGGCTGAACCGGGGACCGGGGACCTGGGGGGTGGGAAGTGCTGGATTCGCGGTGGCCGGACGCACGTCCAGAGCCCGATCCGTACTTGTGTTTTCTTGGAAGCGCTGCAACTGCGGGGAAGGAGTATTTAGAAACCCTGCCAGTTTCAATATGGCGGGCTAAGGTGGTTTTTAAAAACTGAAAATAAAGGTTTTGAGGTGGGAAAAAACCCAACCGGAGTTGCCATGCCTTAGTTTCGACTCTCTTTGGCTACTCCAGGAGCTGTTTTAGCGAATTAAATGGGAAAAAGGAGACAGAATGAGCTGCCCTAGTTTTTTCCGTGTTTCGAGTCTGCGTGTCCAGTCCATTGCTGGGGGGGGGAAGGGGTGCCGCTGGTCCAGACTGGGGCATCCGAGCACAACTGCTGCATGTGTCTTTGGATCGGTGTGCATACTGGTGTGTGCAGTTGTGGGGGGCGGTGTCAAAGAGATACGCCCCGAATGTGTGTGTGCGTCTTGGAACCAGACTCTGCCATGATTTGACGTGACAAACTGCTGACACGTGGTGCAAAATACATGAGGGCAGAGGCGATGATTTATTTCGGCTTTCTTTGAGACAAGCTCTCTGTATGTTGGATTCTGTGCAGGTGAAGCCCGGAGGAGGCGGAGTGCGGAGGTGCTTATTAAAAGGACTAACTGTCTAGGGTATTGGGTGCAGTCGGGCTGCAGACGCCTGTGGGGTTTTGTGTGTGCTGGGGGCACTTCGCACTTGGCGGTGGGGGCCTCGCGGCCGAGGCATGGGGAGGAGAGTGGTGGGGCAGAAAGGTGTTGGCACACCGACCTAGGCGGAAAAGTGTGTAGGGTCGAAGCGAGGAGTTGCTTTTGGATTGGAGTTGAGCTCTAGGGAAGGTGGGGGATGGGAGAAGTGGTCTCGGAAGAAAGTGTCCCTAGCTTAGGTCCAGCGCGAGAAGGCTGGATCTGAGTGGGGCGTTCCCCGGCCGTGGCAGGCAAGCGGGCGGCGCTGTGGCATTGGGGTTTGAGTGGTGTCCGAGAAAGGCCGGCTTCTGGGGCCTGGAGGGTCTGGGACTGGAGTTTGGGGGCAAAGTCGGAGCCTGTAAGGGGAGTCGGAGGGGAAGCAAGCAAACCCGAGCTCGCTAAGCTAGGAACAGGGATCTCCAACAGGGGTCGCCAGTGGCCAGGACGCAGCTGCCGAGCGGAGGTCGCGCGGGAGGGACCCAGGGGACAGGGGGCCGTGCGGCGGCTGTGCGCGGTCCCCCGGGCCTGGCGAGGGCAGGCTCTGGGGACCTTATCTGGGCCGGCGAACCTGATGGCGCCTTGGCCAAGTGCGCCAAGACGTGTTTAAATCTCCGGGTTAAAAAGATAGTGTGTTGGCTAGGTCTGTAGTTAGAGCAGTAACGGGGTCTCAGGGCATTTACAGGGGCCTAGAGGGGCGATCCATAGGGTCAGCTCGTCCTTCCCCCTTAGACGCCGCGCTGCCGGAGAGGCCTCTCTCTAGTAGTGTCCCGCGGGTGGGGGCCCAGGGGAGGCGACACTAGGATTGGATACCCCGCGGCAGATTTTCCTTCCCACCTGGGTTGGCGGGGCTGAGAGGTCGGCGACACTCCGGCCAAGACAGGGTGGGTCCCCCGGGCAGAGAGCGGGGCGCGTCCCCGGCCCTTGCAGCGTGCGCGGCTAGCGGGTCCTCCCGGGGACAGCTTTCCCGTGGGCTTCGCTGAAGTGGAAACCAGCCTAAAATGGCTCTGTGCTTGTAAACTGCAGTTTCAGCCGGGAACCCCTCCCCTCGTCCTCCTGACGTCGCCGCTGACAAGCGCACAATTCACTCTAACGCCCCGAAACCCGCGATTTTGCACCGAGCTGTGCCGTGGAAGCGAATATACAACCGATTACAAAGAACATTCCTCAGGATTCTCGCAGGGCCCAAGTTTCCCTTTCTTGTAGGAAGGAGCGGGAAGGAGGGAGGCGCGGCAGGAGCCCGGCCGACCACCGCCCCGGAACCCGGGCTGGGGCTGGGGTTGCGGGTCGGGGCTGGGGCCCTTTCCGCGTAAAAAACCGAGGGAGGTGCCCCGGGGACGCGGATGGTGGCCGTGCGCAGCGATCGCCACCGCCAGGGGCGCTTGGCCTTGACGGCATCTGTGGTGTACGGAGTGCAGAGAGACGCCGGGAAGCCTGGGGGACCGTTCCCAAACTTCTGGAGACCCGCTTGCAGTTTCGCTTTCGGAATTTTCGGATCTTTGGGTTTCTAGAGTTGGGTGGGATTCCGGGAAGAGCAGGGCTCCAGGCGCTGGTCGTACGGATGCTCGTTCCCCTTTCGGTGCAGTAGTCAGACTTCTCACCACCCCAGCGTCCCCTCCTTTGCGTCCCCGGGTCCCGCGGGCGCGTTCCAGGTCTGGGGCCCCCAGCCCCGCGCGCAGCCCCGGCTCCGGAGAGCGTCGGCCCCGCACCGCGTTTTGTCGGCTCCAGCGGCGCGGCCGCCGCGGATCCGAGTCTATTGGTGGGAAACCGCTTTCGACCAGGGCCGACCCTGCTTGAATCCGCATCCATCGCCGCTGCCGTCCTCTTTCCCTCACCCCTCCACCCTCTCACCGACGCCAAGGGACCTGGGGGACCGATTCGCGTGTCTACACCAAGCAAGTGGATCCAGGGTTCACCAGGTCGGAGAAAACGCGAAAACCGGCTTAAATTCGGCACCGCATTCTGGGGAGGCGGTTGGGGGTGGGGAGGGAGGTTGAGCGGGTACAGAGTGGGAGGGGAGAGGCCTTGGTGGCCAGAAGGAATTGGCCAGGCGCTCCTGTGCGATAGGAGATCTGCTACTTTCTCCTTAGTAAGCATTAAGTTGGCACACACGCTGCTTCCTCCCTTCCATAAATAAATATGTCTCAGATCCTTATTTTAGCTAGGCGCTGGGACCAAGCCACCTGCCTGAAAGGGGTGAGGGGCACACCCATGCACACCAGAAACCTTCCCCTGCCCTACCAAAGTTTGGACTGTGCTAAAGACCCATTCTCCTGGCGGTGTAAACCCCTGCCCAGCGGCAGGGTGATTGATTCAGCAGCCCCTACCCTAGAAAAGAGTCCACCCTGCTTTGATGTGTGTTGTTGTAGAAGTGCTGGCTCTCAGAGAAGAATTTCCCACTAGGGTTCCAGCACCTTGAACTTCCAACAGGCCATCCTGCTGGGACCTGAATTTCACTAATGATGGGAGTCATTGATCTGAGAGAGCTTTTCCTCTTCGTGTTTTCTTGCAGAAACCATAGACCTTTTTGTTGTTGTTGTTGTTGTTGTTTTTGTTTTTTTGTTTTATTTTTTAAACCTTTTTAGGTATAAATCCCTAGGTTCATGATTCTTGCTTAAAAACAAACAAATAAACCAGAATAGGTTCCTGAAGAAAGAGGAGAGCCTGGGTGATCTCAGGATTAGCCTCTCTTCCTAAGACCTTCCTTTGCTGTCCTGGGAGTACTGAAGGTTTATCAAATCTTGTTTCTGCCCACTCTAGCTGAGGTGGCATTGTTCACCTTTCTCCATGTACTGGTGCTCATGAAGGACTTGCCACCTCTCTGTGTTGGAAACACTGCTCTGAGAAGTAAGTGAATGAGGGTTCCATTTTATTGGTACAAGGTGCTTTGGGGGTTGAAGAACCCCGGGCAATGGAAATGCATAGTTTGCAGGGCCTATACTTAATACTGGAAAGTTTTTGTCAGGGTATCAAAGTAAAAGAGTTCTTCTCTTCCTCCTCCTCGTCCTTGTTGTCCTTCTTCTTAATAGTTTGTACAAAATGGTCTACTGTGGGGATTTGAATGACTTCCAGTTCTAGGGTTCTCAGCTTGGACCTTTGTCTGATAGTATTTCACTATTTGGAACTTCTGGAGTTCACGACGTAACAGTATAGTGGTCATAAAGAAGAGTTCATAAAAGGTTCTTGTCCCAAAATGAAATTAGGATATGTAGTTCAAGGCACATTTTGTATTTTTTATAAACTGTTCTTATGTCTACATTGCCCCAGTACCGACTTATTGTCCCTATTCTACAAATATGAAAAAAAAAATTAGGGAACTTGTCATAACAAACCAACCTGCGCATTCATTGGTGACCCAGGATCTAACCACCTGATTTTGTAAGGAAGATTCCTGGCAGAGGAGAGGACAGAATCAGGAGGCCTGGGTTCTACTTAGGAGGTATTTCTGTCAAGCCTTGTGACCTTGGACCACTTACGGCATTTTTTTTCTGAGCCTCAACTTCCTTATCTACAAAATAAATGCATCAGACTGGAGTCTCACTCAGATCTCCATGCTTCTATTTGGGGGAAAAAAATCAGTGATTCAACACATCTTGGTAGGCGTGCTCAAGTGATTCATCTGTCAGCCCCATGCCTGCTACATAGAGTGAAAGGAGTACAGGCCTTGGTGACTGAGGCTCAACAAGACGTTTGTGAGAGCAGTTGGTGGGTTGTAGTTCCCTCTGCAGGGGTCAAGTGGTGACATTGTCGAGGGAAAGAAGCTGTGTATGTATGGGGGCAGGCATCGTTCACGCCCTGCAAAAGTGAGGTGTGGAGATGGAGGCACACATAAATGGAGCCTTCATATATAATCTTTCAACTTTTTTTTTTTTTAAAGATTTTATTTATTTATTTGAGAGAGAGAGAATGAGACAGAGAGCATGAGAGGGAGGAGGGTCAGAGGGAGAAGCAGACTCCCTGCCAAGCAGGGAGCCTGATGCGGGACTCCATCCCAGGACTCCAGGATCATGACCTGAGCCGAAGGCAGTCGCTTAACCAACTGAGCCACCCAGGCGCCCCATCTTTCAACTTTCTTAAAAAAGATTTTTTTTTTTTTAAGATTTTATTTATTTATTTGACAGAGAGAGACACAGCAGGAGAGGGAACACAAGCAGGGGGAGCGGGAGAGGGAGAAGCAGGCTTCCCGCAGAGCAGGGAGCCTGATGCGGGGCTCCATCCCAGGACCCTGGGATCGTGACCTGAGCCGAAGGCAGACGCTTAACGACTGAGCCACCCAGGCGCCCCCAAAAAGATTTATTTCTTTGTTTGAGAGAGAGAGAGAGAACAAGCGAGAACGAGTAGGAAGGGCAGAAGGAGAGGGAGAGAGAATCTCAAGCATACTCCGTGCTAAGCGGGACTCCATCCCAGGACCCTGAGATCATGACCTCGAGCCAAAACCAAGAGTTGGATGCTTACCCAACTGAGCCACTCAGGTGCCCCAGCCTTCGTGTATAATCTTTGTAATAGCATGGGCTGGGCTAGGTCATTGTGGTTTTGAAAAGAAGTCATAAAGAAGTACCTGATTCAAGTATGCTTTAGGAATTCATAGGACTAGAAGGGACTATTCCACATAGCCCTCTATACCCCACCATTGCAGACAGGGTGAGTGCTGGGACCTCATTCTGCTAGTATTTATAGTGTGGGTGGGTGACTGTGGCCTCCTGGTAGCCTGGGGAGTAAAAGAACTAGATCTGATGTTGCATTTACCATTCCTGCTCTTCATTTAATTTTATTTTTTTAATTTTATTTTTTTGAGGTTTTATTTTATTTATTTGTCAGAGAGAGAGCACAACCAGGGGGAGTAGCAGAGGGAGAGGGAGAAGCAGGCTTCCCACTGAGCAAGGAGCCGCATGTGGCACTTGATCCGAGGACCCTGGGATCATGACCTGAGCTGACTGAGCCACCCAGGTGTCCCCATTCCTGCTCTTTAGGTTGAGCCACTAGGCAGTACAGTTGACCCTTGAACAACATAGGGGTTAGGGGCAACAACTCCCCCCACCGCCCCCAGCTGAAAATTCTTGTGTTGCTTGACTTCCCAAAAGCTTAACTATTAAGAGCCTGCTGTTGACCAGAAGCCTTACCAATACTGTGAACAGTTGATTCATACAGATTTTATATTTGTATTACACGCCATATTCTTACAATAAAGTAAGCTAGAGAAAAGAAAATCATTATTAAAATCCTAAGGAAGAGAAAATATATTTACAGTAGTGTACTTTATAAAAAAAAAATCCATATGTCAGTGGACCTAGAGTTCAAACCTGAATTTAAGAGTCAGCTATACTTCCTCTCTCTGTAAGACTAGACATGTCCTGGACAACTCCTAAGAAAAATGATCTTGTTGGCTAAAACAAGTGTTGGCTGTGTTGAAGTCCATGTAAATGAGATAGGACTGTATATTGTAAATAAGGGAAGGTATTCAGTTTAGAGCTTGCAGTACAACAAGGGATGTTATAGGATTCATATAAAGTCACCGAACAAGACCCTGAAGGATCGGTTTTGCAGGATCATGTCAGGGTATTGTGATGTAAAGATGCCAGCATCACACTCCCCATCTGGTTAGCGCCTAGTGAATTTTAAAACATGATTATGTTTCACCATATACCGATAGTCAGGTCCCTTGGTTTTGATAAGATGATATTCACTAATCAAAAAGTTTTATTTATTTTTTTGTCACTTAGGTTTCTTTCTGTCCTTGTGATAAGATAGATGTCGTTGACACTGATGAAACAAAGAATCCATTATGCTTTTCTGTTTCATTCTTTTTGATTTTCTGTAAAAAAAATGACACATTTGGTAGATAACGTGCTTGTGAGAGCATATGGTGATAATCTGTAGAGTAAGGCCAACAGAAGACCATTTTGGAGCTGGTGGGATGGGGAAGATGGGGCAGATTTTTATCCTGTGATTTTTTTTTTTCCCTGAAGTTTTGTTGGCTGAGAAAAAAAATCTTTTATTATTACTATTTTTTAAATATTTTTAAGTAATGTCTTGCCAGCAAGTTAGAGCAAGAGAGAGAGTGTGGATTTGAATCCTAGTCTTACATTGTCTTTGAAACTGTAATTGTTGTATATTGATTATTTACTGTGTGAGACACTGTGTCTAACACTTTAAATGTGTTAGCTTACTTAATCGCTGCAGGTGAGTGCCGTTATCTTTATTTTATTGATAAGGAGATAGAGTCTTTGGAGAGGTTCTAGGGCATCATATAAATAGGGTTGGTTTTTTTTTTTTTGAACTTGATTTGCAGTGCAGGAAGACTAGAGCATTTTCTGTTTACATTTATTTCAGATGGTCATGGAAGAGCAGAGCCTCTAGATGAAGCTAAATCTCTGTTTTTAAATGTAGAAGTGAAAATATTCAGTGTCCTGGGTTGGGATAGAATGTTGCTCCCTGTCATGTGAATTGGCCATTACAGTTTTGAAAAGTGTTGTGTTTCTGAAATTTCAGCTTAATTAAAAGGTAATTGGTTTTCCTACACATCAGTTTCCTTTTTTCTCTCCTCTCTGAAAGACATTCCCACACCAGCATAGGTGAGAGTAAGTGGAAAAATTCTCAAGTCGTAGGCAAGTGGAGAGTGGAACTCCAAAGGACCTTGGGACAGCTGGGGAAGAGAGCTAGAATTTTCCCTTCTAAGTAGCTTTTCTTTTTCTTTTAAAGACTTTATTTTATTTATTAGAGAGAGAGAGAGCGCACAAGCAGGGGGAGCAGCAAGCAGAGGGAGAAGCAGGCTCCATGCTGAGCAGGGAGTCCGATGCGGGGCTCGATCCCAGGACCCTGAGATCATGACCTGAGCCAAAGGCAAACGCTTAACCACTGAGCCACGCAGGTGCCCTTCTTTTCTAACTAGTGTCGGCTACCGATGAGCGTAGTCTTTTAGATTCAACTTAAGATTTTGGTCTTTTATTACATTATTGTTTTCTTGAGTAGAAACAGAAAACTTCAGAGCGGCTCCTTGTGTGAGGCCTGGGTAAGCATGGTCCTTCCTGTGCCCACTCTGCTCTTGTCAGTGGGTTGTGCACATGGTGAGGTTGACCTCAGGCTCGAAGCTGGCCATCAAAGTTTCTTTGCTGTAGACGAGCACATATTAATTTCACCTCCTTTAAAGCTCAGGAGAAGATGTCGAGTTTTGCCAAATCCAAAGTAAGCAGGATTTTTCTGGAAATTGGCTTTTGGCATTATTTTAGGAAGTGCACTAAAGGAAGATAAGCTACGGTCTCATGGTTAGAGTGAACCGGGCTTAGGGATTTAGAACCCTTGGTCTGGCTCCAGGGGGGTGTATGTGTGTGCGTGTGACCTTGGCTAAGTCACTTTCCTTTAATCCTCCCTCTACTTCCAGTTTTCGATTTTTCCTGCCATGAATGGCAGATAGAATTCTTGCTAGGTACAAATATATTTTACAGGCCGGCTTTAAAAAGTGAAAGCCAGGTTTACTTCTACGGATTTGTGACAAATATGCTATCTTTTTGTTAGAGAAAAAAATCTCTCTCCTACATACTTTACTATTGCAAAGGACGCCTTTACTTCCTACCTCCACGTTGGAAAGGATGTTTCCGTCTGGGTGGTTTAAAAAAAAATGCTCTTTGGTTGTAGTCATCTTGAGGATTCACTCGTAGTCAACTTGTCTATGTGCTTAGCACAAACACTGGACATGCAAAGGAAGAGGGGATCTATCATCTGATATAAATGATGCCAACTGGTGCATGGCGTGGGCTAGAGGTCTTTATTTTTTTAAAGATTATCTGAGAGAGAGAGAGAGCACGCGCTCATGAGCAGGGGGAAGGGAGAGGCAGAGGGAGAAGCAGACTCCCAGCTGAGCAGGGAGCCCAATGCTGGACTTGATCCCAGGGCCCTGGAACCTGACCTGAGCTGAAGGCAGACGCCTCACTGACTGAGCCACCCAGGCGCCCCAGGCTAGAGGTCTTTAATGAAAAAAGGCAGAGCTCCCTAAGAGACTGTTCCAGACAGGCTTCCAGTTGGTACTCTTGCTGAAAGAGACGCGTTGCTTCTCCAGCACTGTGGAGAGCTTGCAGAAACGTCCCACAAAATGAGTAGAGATAAGGGACAGAAAAAGTCAAGGGGGATTAGGGGACAAAGAACACTGCCAACGTTTCGGTTGGATCACTGTGTTGTGTGCATTTATTCCTGCAGGGAAGAAGCTGGATTTGCCTTTTGAAAGGTGGAGAAGTGGGAGCGAGGGAAATAGGAGCCTTAGCATGGAGGTACCTGGGGAGGAAAAGGAGGGTTTGGAGGACAGAAGTCATTAACACAGCGGAAGTCCAGACTGCAAACATGTACTTTTCCAGGAAGCCTACTTGTCTTATGCATTCATATCCTTGTTGATATTAACTCACTAAGTTACACTTCATCTGCTTTGATCGTACTTACTCTTTTGTACTTATGATGTCTTTATTTGTCAACGGACGAACAACAGATGCAAAATCACTACTCCAGCCTCTGGCTGCCTGTTGAAGGCTGTAGGTTGGATCCTGTTTTTGCTCGTTTTGCTCAAACTGATTGGCCATGATTGACACTGACGTGTCAGCCCAATTTTGGTCGCCGAACACTACATCCTCATCCTACATGTTTTGTCTTTGTTCGTATCACTTGCGGTTCTCAGTCTTCATTTTCCACGTGGCCTAGTTACACAGAGGCTTTTAAAGTCCCGAGTGTGTACAAGATGTGTGTTTGAGAGACTTACCTCCCAGCGTTTTTATGTATGTATGTATGTATGTATGTATGTATGTATGTATGTTTTCTTGGAGGGCGGGTGGGGTGGGAGTGAGTTTTCAGATGTTTATCTGGTGGCAGGCGAGATTTCTTTAGGCATCAATGTTTTCTTCAGGCATTTCCGAGGACAGGGCTTTCCTAGCTGAGTGGGACGCTGGGAGGAGTCCATCGCCAGGCCCAGAATCTTGCGCGAAGCATTAACATCAGTGTGCTAATGAAACAGAATGCCGCGGGTAATGTTTTGTATTGAAGCTGACAGTTTCTGAGATCCTCCAACGCCTCATGCCCTGGTGTGTGTAACCCCTGCCAAGGGTGTGTCCGTGATGTCAGGTAAGGCGAGGTGACATCCCCTGGTCCAGAAAAACAGCCAACTCTGGAATCAGACCCACCAGTCATGGTTCTCCGTGCTGACGTTACGCTTGCAGGAGGCAGGACGACTCTAAGCGGCATAGCAGAGACTGTTTGGAGCCTTGCTTTGGCCCTTGTCATTCATTGTCTTTAAAACTTTAAATATGCTTTATCCTTCCCAACTCGCTGAAAAATGCAGGACACCTTTCCCCTTTCCATCCCTCTGTGGCTACGGAACCTCAATGCCTTAATGCAGTGTATCAGGTTAAGTCTGTGACTAGCCAGCTGGGCGTTTAGGTCCTGACCCACCTCTTTTTACGAAAGTTTTCGGGATCCAGCTCAGACCATGGGTAATATTTTGTTTTTTTTGAGTCTTTATTCCATTTGAGGGGAGGCTCTATTACTGTCTCCTCCCATATACGCTTTGTTTTAACAAGGAAGGTCCGTGAAAACCCAGATTCCCTGAACTGTGTGCCTGGGAGGCGAGACTTTTAGAGCAGGCCCTGTGTTTGGCAGATGATAACAGTGTTGCTTGTTGCGGTTAGAAGGCCAAGGGTACATTCTGGTTTAGTGATCGTTACATTCCAGTGTAAAGGCCAGATCTCCATGAATTACTTCCCCTTGTTCTGTACTAACAAAGCTAAATTAGGGTGTTTTTATTGACTGCATGACGATATGCAGTGGGACACCACTGGAGTCAACTTCCTTCATGCATTTAAATGATATGATTTATAAAATTTGATTCATGCCCAATTTTATGGTTATAGGTATGGCTTCAGGTAAACACCTGAAATGCTCTCTAGTTGTTTTATGAATCCCCAAGGAGATTGCACAGCTCTCCAGGCTGGCTTCCATTAGACATTTTGAAGTGTGTGGCATTTCTCAAGCATCATTGCTGTGTATCTGTGCTGCTTGAAGTAACCGATACATAAGATCCCCTCAGAAAATTAGGCGCTGATGATTAGACATTATCTACGCATGTCTAGCTTACTGAAAGATCCCTTGTCAGAATTCTTTGCTTTTTGAGTTCTCATGATCATACGTACGGCACATGGGCTGGTGACTTCCACACATGGGCATGTAATGTGGGATACACATCTCCTGTAAAATATGAAGGATGTTTTAGCTTTGTCAGAGGCTTGGATGGATGCTCTAATTCATTTCAGTCTTTGTAGGTGACAGGGAAACCCCAGGCTTAGTTCAAGATGTCAGGACCGCGTGGGACGATGTCTGTGCTAATTCTAAAAATCATGCTTTTTTATCGTAAGGCCCTTCCAGGCTCTTTGGTGTAAAGTATCTCATGTCAGTCCTAGGGTCACGTGAGGACCGTGTTTAACCTTGGTGGCTTAGAAGCAAATTTCTGGTGCAAGAAACCCTTTATCACCACCTGGATGCAAAGACCTATTGCATAGTAGATTCCGTTGGGGATTTCAAGGCGCCATCCTTCTTTAGAGCCAATAAGTAGTAAAGGGTCCCTAAATAATCTGTAGGTAAATAGTAAATTAGTAAGTGAACTTTTGAGCCAGTGCACAGCTCATCTGCCCTTTGCTTGGGTTTTCTCTTCTCTTGAGCAGGTAGCTTGGGACGCTGCCGTGTTTCTCATGTTGCATAATGTCCCTTTGGAAGCACTGATTTTGTTCACCTTTACTCTTGAGTAATACATGCCGTTTGATTGGGAGGTTAAGAGGTGACAGTTAAAACCATGAATTAGAAGACACGGTACGTTATTGTGGGAACCGCAGGCTGCCGCCAGCCAGCCCTGGTGTTTTCTCCTGGAGTACCTCTTTTCCCCCACATATCTTATTTCCCAGGATTGAGGTATGAATCTGATTGTAAAAAATTAGCATTTCTTGTGCGGGGACAGCAATTTGTGTCAGATTTCAATCTATTTAGAGTGAAAACCAACGAAGCCCGGTTGACAAATGGCCAGTAAATTGCTGTCCTAATCAAGGTGAATCAAGCTCTGAGTATGTGGCGGATGGCAGAATTTCATGAACGTTGTGCCCCAAAGAATCAGTTCATCTCACTTGATGATGGAATCAGGCAGGACCTGTCTCTTCTTAGAAAGGCTGCGTGTTGGCTATTAGGAGTCAGGAGGGGATGGGCGCAGTCAGGCTTTATTAGCAGGCTGGATCCGGTGACAGGGTGGATATAAATAGAAGGAGGCTCTCCTCGATCATAGCGCCAGGCCCTTAACATGGCTTTTCTTCTTCAAAGCCCTTTACAGGTATGGTTCTTGTAGCCACTCTCAAGATCTTAGGCTGTTATTTGGCTGTTTATTTGCATGTTGCTTCTTCCAAAGATGGAAGTAGTGATTTTTCAGAGATCAGATTTGGGAAAAAAATTAGGTTGCGCATCCTTCAGAATCCTCTGATATTTTCCGCTTTATTTGAAATATTTTGAAAGGTCTTAGCTCAGGTTAGGTGTCCTGTGCTCATTTCGAGATTTCCCGAGTACGAAATGAGGTCGTTTTCTGTGCTACTTAGACACGCTAGATATCCATGGGCAGCTAGAGCATGTCTGGAATTTCATAAGCTTTGAGTTTAGACCTTCCCATTTTATTTTCTATCTGGAGAATATTTGCTTTTCTGAGTCATGTGAAGAAATGAACAACTGCAAACCTTTTCTCACTTCAGAGTAGGGAGCGTGAAATTATGAGTATGTTAAGTAGTTACATCGCAAGTTTCTTGAACTACTTTGAGGCAGATCACTTTGAAAAGTCTGGGTAACTGAAAGAAACGGGACATTTCTTTTATCACTAATACAGTGCAGTTCACTAAATGAGCCCTTGTGAGCTGCAAGCCTTTGGAGGCAGCCTCGTGACTTACAATAAAAAGCTTCATGTTTTCACCTGAGTTTGGATAATTGTCTCTGCACAGTAAGAGTGTAACATTCCTCATGTCTTATAAAACAAAATCAAGATGGAGAAGTGGTGTATTAGTCAGTAGTGGGGTGAGGAAGGAAGGAAGGAAGAGAATTTATTGATTCTCATAAGTGGAGATCTGAAGCTGGAGCTGGACTCCTCTGTTGCTTTGGATTTAAGAGGGGGATCTTTCTTGGAGACTGCACATGCCTCATCTCAGGGAAGAAAGGGATGTGTGTGTTTTGAGATGTTCCCTTCTAAACCGGTGACAGTAGGCAGAGACCCCAGCCCTTCTATAATGGAATATGGTGGAATCCTTTTCAGTGTACGTTGACCAACCTGGGAGTAAAGACGTAAAGACACTCATGCTGGGATTTCCTCTTGGAATGACCCAGCTGACCTCCAGATGGGTTCCCAGGATTGACAGCCTCACTTGGCTTGGAGATACCAGCCAGCCCCTCAGTGCCCCCCTCTTAAACAGGAGAACCACAAAGTGTTACCAATCTTCTGAGGAAGGTACCTAACATAAAAAGTAGAGACCAAAACCAACAAAGAGAGCAAAATAACTTCTCTTATGAAGGAGAGAAGAAAAATCTCTAAAAGAAGATCACGAATCACCACAGGGAGGTCATAGCAGACTTTGCATCCTGGTAACAAGAACAGGATAGGGTGGGGAAGGGAGTCTTAACGAGAATTTAAAAAGAGCTTTGTGAAATTAAATTGTAAAGCTCCATAGAAGAGCTAGAGGGAGAAGCTGATGATAGATCCTAGGTGGAAGATTTAAAAAAAAAAAGAGAAGAAAAAGCGACAGAACATAAAAGAAAAAATTAAGCAGATTGAGGAGGTCCGACATTTGATTGAATATTTGGGCAAAAGAACAGAAAACAGAGATGAGGAAATTAGTAGTAATTCAAGAAAATATCCTAGCACAAGAACATGAATTTTAAACTTGAAAGAAGCCAGTGTGCCCTGAAGCCACAAGCAGATCGTCAGTAGGCACGTCATTGAGAAGTTTCAGCTCAGAGGCCCCAGTAACTGGGCTGCTGACAGACTTCCCCGGTGGAAGCTGGGAGACGGTGGACAGAAGCCCTTGAAACTCTGCGAGATGTTTTTTCCACCGCGGAGGTTTTTTTTTTTAAGATTTTATTTTATTTATTTGAGATCGAGAGCGAGAGAGAGAGAGAGAGAGCATGAGCAGGGGGAGCAGCAGAGGGAGCAGCAGACTCCCCAGCTGAGCAGGGAGCCAGATGTGGGGCTCGATCCCAGGACCCTGAGATCATGACCTGAGCCGAAGGCAGATGCTTCACCGACTGAGCCACCCTGGCACCCCTTGACCTTGGAAGTTTTTTCCCCACCTAAACTACTAGTTCCAACGTGAGGGTAGTTAACGGCATTTTCAACCATGCAAGGCCTCATGTTTTCCACCTAAATCCTTTCTTAGGGAACATACCTCCTCAAAAGGGAGAAAAGCGAGAATGAGGAAGACATGGGACCCAGAAGAGAGGCTGTGTGACAAAGGAGAGAGAAGCAAGGTCTCAGGATGGCGTTTGCCAGCCAGCCAGGCATAGAAGGCAGTTCGTCTGGATGGGAGCAGAACAGAGGCCCTGGTGGAAAGTTCTTGAGATGAGATTAACAAAATGCCTATATATCTCAGTTTATGGAGAGGAGAATTCCACAGTGAGTGGAAACATTGCGTTCTTTCGAATGGGTGATAAGTATGTTAAAACTAAGGACGTGGAAAGAACAAGGTCATGACTGACTCCAGGGCAGAGTTGTGTGAGGAAAAGGACACAGTCCCAGGGTGCTGCGGGGTCAGCTGGGACGTCCTCATAGAGCTTCGGGGTCACACCTGCTAGGAGGCGAAGGGCGGGAGGGAGGAAGAGCAGGCTGAGTGCTAGCCCATGACTTGATGACAGAAACTGGGAAGTTCATAAGTGAGTTATCAGCAGTGTGGAGATGAACACCATGGCAATCAGCCAAGGGATCTGAAGGAGAAGGGCATTGCGAGGAGTGAGGGACACCATGGAAAGAGTCCCTAGAGATTGTACAACCCAGTTTCCTCTTGCTTTTTGAGAAAAGAGACCTGCAAAAAACAATTCGGTCAGATACATAGATCCATTAAGAGCGTGGGTCCCCGACGAAGAGTCAACATGATGCAGTCTTGATAAACTGTAACTCCTTTCGGCAGATGGTGTAGCAAAGCTTGACTTTGTAAGATGGAACTGAGGTAACTGGCATTCTGTAAGGAACACTACTTATCATGCAAGACTATTTAATGCAGAGCTATTTCTGAAAGAACCAACCTTCCCCTCTCCACATGTAAATGACTTTGCAGAAATATATGTATTTTTTTTAGTACACCTATGTTAAATATCTCTTGATGCAGAACTACTTTATCTTTCTCAGCACCCCAGACAAAAATCTTTTCATCAAGCTGTGGTTCTCCAGGTGTAGTGCTTGGACCAGCAGCATCAGCGGCACCTGGAAACTTGTTAGAAATACGAATGCATCGGCAGTTCTCCTGATCTATCGATCAGAGACTCTGGGAGTAGAGCCCAGCAGCCTGAGGTTTGACAAGCCCTCCAGGTGATTCGGTTGTGCCATGCATCTGGCACGACCACATCCAACTCCTTGGCCATTTACACCTCTCTGTAGATGATGGGGAAAGCGGATGTTGAGGGTGGAGGAGGGACAGTGAGCAGTCTCTGATGCACAGAATTTCTACCCGTGTGTCTTTCAGATACACAGTAATCCGTTCACGGTCAAATGCCTCGTGATGATAAAGTCATAGGAGACTGCATTTCAGGCCGTGCAAAATCATGGTTGTCCCTTTATAAACCAACCCCAAAGGACTCCAAATTTAATGGCTGCTGAACTAAGGGGGAATATATGGATACAAGTCATACTTCTGTTTCTCTGAATTTTCTCATAATTCAAGGAAGTTTTGGTACACCGAAACACAGCCTTGTATGCGTAAGTTTTTAGTATATGATAAAGACAGAATGTGGAAACCCAATGGGATACAAATGGGTTATTACCTGTGCTGGGGGGAGGGTCGGGAGGGGACAGCCCAGAGCTGCCCCTCACAGAATATTTGAGCAGAAATTCCCCCTATGTTAAAGAGTTAAGTGTAAGCCTTGGAATCCCAGAGAAGTTAGACTTCTGGTGTCTCAGGGTGGGGGGAGGGCTTTTTTGAAAATGCAACTTTTAGGGGTCCCTGGGTGGCTCAGTTGGTTAAGCACCCGACTCTTGATTTAGGCTCAGGTCATGATCTCAGGGTTGTGAGGTAGAGCCTCGCGTTGGGCTTTGCGCTGGGCATGGAGCCTGGTTAAGATTCTCTCTCTCTCATTAAAAGAAAAGAAAGAAGATACAATTTTTAGAAAAATCAAGGGAATGGATAGATTTGACTAAGTTAAGAAAAAGAACTAATCTTTTATCAAAAGGAGCCACTAAAAGGAAAGTTGGGGAAGATATTTGCAGCGGTTTTGTGACATAGAATATGGAGCGCTCTTAAAAATTATATGAAATACCAACAGTTAAAATGTGGGAAGGATATGATGAGCAGGGTTATCACATGAGGGTAGCATGTTACAATGGCATGTTGTGTTTTTTGAATGTCACATTGAAAAAGGGGAAAGGAAACGCGGCTGATGGCCTGGAGGGGGTTGGCTTCAGATACAGTCTGTCGTCACTGCTAGGCACAGTCTAAGTGCGGTGCAAGTGAGTCCTGTGGGCTGGAGAGCATTTGGGCAGTGTGGGTTGTGAGGCTTCGATCTGTTCCTGCATTTGGCCCCTCATCTCACCTCTGGGATTGCATGGGAAGGCCACATCAGAGGTGCATTAACATTAACGGCTGAGGATGACCAGCACAGCACTGACGATGATGGGGAAAAATAAAAAAGTTTAATGGCCAGTAGGAGGGGAATGGTAAATAAATTACTGTATTCATATTATAATAAAAATTGTGCAACCATTTCAAGTCATGTTTTCAAGGAATTTTAACGACGTGGGGGGAATGCTTCCTGTGTAATGGTAAATGAAACAAGAATTAAAATTCTAAATTCTACATGAACTCAAACCCTGCAGAGAAGCTGTCAGGGGGATCTGTTATCCACATAAAAGTGATTCTCCCTGGGTGTTAGAGTGACAAGTGACTTTAATGTGTTCCTTTATAATTTTATTTTCCTAGATTTCTACAGAGTGTGTATACCTTTTATGGGAAGGAAGAAAGTAAATATTATTGGAAAAGTGCAAGTGTGATGTGTCATTCGCCAAAATAAATACATTCTGCAGTCGCCTGTGTAAATAAAAGCCTTGTCACTTGTCCTTACAGAATAACTCTGCCACTCATTGATGTGGCTTTCTTTTTGATATTTATAATGTTACCCTTGAGTTCTATTTAAAATGATTGATTAGGTGCATTTAAATTGATGTCTTACTTTATAGTCCCCAAATCCTTTTTTACAGTATCTGGTCAGGGGCAAGTGCAGAGAGCTGAGTCCCCAAGAAGTCATAAAAACTTGAGCAAACTTTTCCCCCTTTAATGAGTATTCTATAAGCCATTGATACTTGACTGATTTCTTAATAGTTACATTCATGGGCTCTTCTTTCTCCTTCCCAGGAAAACTTTATGCCTGATTACATTTTTGAGCTGGAATGATTTTCCTGAATTTATAGATGAATGAAAACAGGAAACGATTTTCGTGTGATGCACATGCTTTAGCTTATTAGATCGTTTCTTCTTTGAAATTATATTGATGCAAAAATGCAGCACATTCTATAAAAATCCGCTTTTTGAAGTTTCTTAGGTTTTAAAATGCCTGTGTTCTCTTTTAATTAGCTTGCTATTGTTAAATTAAAACTTTCAAGAGAGCCAAGAATTGATGGTTATTTTTAGGACATGCTCCAAATTCAAATATAGTAAACTCTGGCTTACCTGTGCGGTGGGCTAGCTGTGCTCCCTAATACGGCAGCCGATACGACTTTTAAATTAAAATTAATGAAAATGTAAATTGAAATCCTCTTTCACACTAGCTGCATTTCAAAGGCCCAGTAGCCACATGTGGCTCCTGGTTACTGTACTGGACCGTGCAGGTCTAGAAAATTCTACTGGACCTTGCTGGCCTAAAGATAATTCAAAATAGGTAAAAACCCCTAATAATTTCTGGTTAGCTCTAGAATACTATCTAGTGAGTGTTCTTCCCCACCCATTTTCTTCCTAACAAGACTTTGCTTGGCTTATGCTAAAATTACTTAACCGTCTCTGAATATTCTCCAAATGATAGGAGGAGGCAGAAAAGAATTAACAGGGGAGGATGCTTGTTCTGTTAAATTTCTTTCAGATTAAAAAAAAAAAAATTTCTTTCAGATAAACAGGTAATCTGAATGCAGAAAAATAAAACACTGAAAAAAGCTCTGGTAGATTCATAGAACTTTAGATTTGAAAAGGGCCCAATGATTACATCTAATCAAGCTTTCATGAGAGGTTTAGAGGAACAGAGAGGTCAAGTTATTTGCCTAGGTCACACAGCTAGATCGTGGCCTTGTTACTCTCCAAGTTACTATAATTGTGTTGTTCAACAACTTTAGAGAGGAGAGGAGCCAATTAGAGTGGGATTAACTTTACATAGGATCACAAGTGTATTGTAAAAAACAGGAAGTTACCCTTTAAAAACCCAGCTTTGTGAGCTTTCTTTTCATGTCTTTAGAAAAAAAGGTACTTTCATTAATAGACAGTTTTACCTTTGGTCTTGAAACTAATATATATTTTAAGAATCAAAATGAAATATGCTTCCTTTTAAAAATAGCCCTTTTTTGGGGGTGAGGGTGTTGGAGGCAGGAAAAGGATTTGCTTTTCAAAATCCTGTTTTCATTTTGCAGAGCTTCTGGGTCAGTTTTCACCAGGGAGATTTGCTACCCCCACAAAGTCCATCGGAAGTAAATTTCTGTGGACGGGTTTGTCATTCCCCTATTTAATGTGATTTCTCCGGTAATGTTTATTTCCAGAGGCACTGCCTAGGTTCCATGCGTTGCTGAGAGCGAGCTGTGGAAAGGGATTTATTCTAGGAAACTGCCTTCAAGCTGTGAAGAGATCGCACCTTGTTAATGTCGGGGGGGACTCCTGGGTCGTTTGCACCAGGTCCTGTGGATTGTACTTTTGAAATACGCCGCGCACTTGTTTCCTTGTTTTCTCCCCAGACCTCCGCCCACACGGTCCTGTTTCAGTTGTGTCCCCGTCTGTCCGTCTGTCTGGCTGGAGCGACTTTTCTGGAACAGATCAATCAGATCATTGCACTCCCTGCAGTGAATCCTGCGGTGTCTACTCCTGCCTGCAGAGTTGGGGTCCTTGCTTTGGCAAACCATTCTCCTCTGCTTGGGGTTCAGCCTTGAGTCTGTTCTGCTAGCACGTTCTCCAATCCTGGCCCCCACAACCTCGTGGTGATCTCTGCTTCTCTCTGTGTCTCTAGTGTTCCCTGTTGCTGACCAGCTTGTAAGGGGTCAGCGCGTGCCCCCAGTGGGGATGCCCTCTGTTCTGGGCTGTCTGTGATACTCTGTTGGCTCCAAGTGTCCCCCCTCCTGTGTCGTTCAGCTGCTTGTCCTTCTGCACCCCCCCATCCTTGGAAATGTCCCTGACAGACTCCAGTGGACATCCGTGAGGGAGGCAGTGTTTTGCAGAGGGTGCCGTGTCTTCCCCTGTTGTTGGTGGGCATGGTGTCCCCATCTAGGTGATCGGGTGATCCGCAAACTCACACACATGCTTCCGTCATTGCGGGCAGGTGTGTGTTGTCCGCTGCGTGCTCCCTGCGCGTGTTCTCGCACCCGGCGCTTGTTGGCTGTTGGGTCTCTGGTGGGCTGGCCACACTCGCTTATCAACAGGCGAGTTCTCTGCAGATGGCATCGGCCATTGCTCCTGGATGCTGGTGGCGCTGGAGACACACTGGTGAGTACCGCCACCCGCTGTAACATCCAGGTCTAGGGCACGAGAACTTGCAGGGAGCCCTGGCGGCCTGTCCCTCTCCTCTCTGGTCGGCTTCATGCAGCCCCGTGGGGAGGAGATCTCCAGAACCATGGCTCCCCACAAATACCAGTGTCTGTGTCATGATAGGACTCGGAAAGGAGCGTTCTTATGAGGAGAACACATTTCTGCCTGTCATCGTGTGCGTTGTTTTAGCAAACTGATGTCGCTGGGGTAAAATTAGTCAGCCTCAGTGTGCAAAGTGCTGGGTTTGCCAATGCCCTCTGTTTTAAAGCATCTTGGAACCCGTCTATCTGTTCCACGGGTTCCTTTACTTAATCTTTCATTTAAAGAAAAAAGACAAACACTCTGAGTTTCTATTTACGTTTAAGTCGTTCGTGTGCGCACCCAGTTTTCTTGCACCGTTGGTCTTAGATGTTGCTGCAGGGTGGGGTTAGGACTGGCTTGCCTTGCTTTCTCGGCCCCATGCAGCGCTCCGGTGAGCATGTGGTATTTACCGATCCTTGATGTGGCTTTTAAACAAACCCAAGAAACCATTTCAGCCTTTTAACCAGTGCTTTGCTATTTTTTGGGACAGCCCTGCCTTGCATTGTATCTCTCATCCTGACTTCTCCTCAGACCGCACAGCCTCACTTTGCTTCAGAAAATAGAAAAAGCACCTGTGCTCAGAGACTGTGGGATGAGTGAAAGATAATCTCCCGGTTGGTTATGTTTGCCTGATAATTTGTCATTTCATTTGCTTATTTGTGTACTTACCTTCGTACCAGCAAGATGCATAGGTCGCTGCTGGAAGAAGCAGTCTGGACATTTCCATGGTTCCTATTCTAAAATAGGTATTTCCTTTCTTTGTGTTTTGATTGAGAAATGGCTTTGTATCCCTGCCCCCACAGCGTCTGCCATAGTATTTTATATAAACAGGTAGCTAATAAATACGTGCTGGGTTAAGTTCCCATGCTGTGTACCTGGTACCTTGCCCATCTCCTCCTGGTAGAGTTTTCTGTCTTCTTCCTGCCATTGCACCGATGACTACACCCTCTTATGAACCTTTAATTTTGACCCCCCCTCAAAATAATTTTCCAGGAAAGCAAACTGAATAGCACCAAAAGAGGTGTGTGCACGTGAGAGAGTGTGTGTGTGCACTCGCACACGCACGAGTGCATGTGGCTAGCGGTTTAAAAGGGGGTGGTATTCTTAAAAGGTATTTCACTGTATGTGAGTGACAAAATATTCTATTTATAGGTGTAGAGGCACTATGGTTTTCTTCATGCATCCTTGCCCTTTTGCTGATTTAATCTTTCGTCTACGTGTGCAATAAAAGTAGATGTTGAATGAGTGAAAGATTTAAAAGCCCCGCATGGCTGTGTCTGTCTAAACACCAGAGAGGTCAGCGGCCGACCCTTAGGAGTGGCGACCCTTAGGGGGGGTGCGTGCCTGGCTGTTTCATGGGCTGTAATGTAAATGAACCAAATTGTAGGTTCTGTGAGAAGCGCCTGTCATTTACCTGTTTTTCCACCTGTCGTATCTGAATGCAAGTGAAGAATAGCCATGCTATTATAGGAAAAATCTAATTGGTCAGAAAGCACATTGGCAAACGTCGGTACTTTAACTGGGTCCGGTCGCGCATTGCTTGGGACACCCGAGACGTCTCACCCGTGTGTGGGTATTTTCTGTTATCAGCATTACGTGGCATCCTACATGTTATAGTCACCTGGTAGCAGCTCTGACAGGATGCTCTTATTTTGGAGGGGACTTTAAAAACAAAGGAATATAATCAAGGTGCTCTGCTTTTTTTTTTTTTTTCTTTGTTGGTTGCTCTTAGGTAATTCTTGCTGCAGGATGCATTAAGAGAAGAGGATCCTTACTCACTAGGCATGGAGAGCAGCTTGTCAGCTTCCAGCATGCAGGACCCTTCCTCCTCACCCTTGGAAAAACAGCAAAGCTCAGCAAGCGGTAATGGAGGTCTCGATTCAGGTGGGACTTTGTTTTCTGGATCTCTCTCTGACGTTTTGATTTAGTGACCGATACCTTCCCGAAAATGTTCAGGAAACAATGGGGCAGACATCTCGAGATCTCTCGCACTGCCTGTTCCTAGGATTTGCTGTCATATTTATAAGCATAGAGCAGCTTGAAAGTTACACAAAGTTTGGCTCAAAATGTAGTATTTCCAATACTAGATGGAGAGGGGTAGGTTGCAGTGAGGTGACAGATCACTTCAGAATCTCAGTGGTTAACACAGTAAATGTTTATATATCATTCATGCTAGCTCTAGAAAGAGCTGGTGCACTTTCTGCGGATTCATGCCACACCAATTTTTTGTTACGGGGTAAGCAGAGCTTGAGGGTCGTGAATCAACAGTGTGACATGCTCTGGCTCCGAACACACAGCTGTTAGTTTTGCTCAGAACCTCTGGACCAGGACCTGTCTCATGCTGGCACCACTGCAGGGGAGGTGGGAAAGTCAGCTTGTGTCCCTTGTGCCCAGAGGGACAGGACAGCGGGCTCTGCCTAGGCACTGATGCCGGCACCCCCACTCCTCTCCGAAACCTTGAGCACGGCTTTCAGAGAAGTGCCTAATGGGAAAGAAATTTAGGTCATGTGAATCCGTGGTATAGTTGTTCCTCCCTTCAAGGAACCTAACACCTAACCAGTCTTTGATTGCATTTTAGTATTTCATCGATGAATTTTTATGTGTCTCTTTTTCTAAATGCTTACACAAGAGTCCGTTTTAAAAAGACACTTTTTTTTTTTCCTTCTTTTAAAGGATTGCTCTATTTGCATAACAGCAAATTAAATCAGGACAGCTTAGCTGTCTGGATCATGAACGTTTGCTCTGGTGAATTCATGTACAAAATGTTGATCCTTAATTCAGTGGGAGATTTGACCCTTATCCAGAGAAGTCACGATGGTTGTCTTCATATTCTGATGAGTGCTGTCAATGGCAAAATTACAGATGGCTCGATTTCATTGGATTTACTGCATTAACTCAAATTTATATCTTTATCTGCAAAAAATCTGGAAACCCCTGAAGTTATTGCCTAAATATGTGGAAAAATGTTAGTGTCGGCTTCAGAATCAGCCCAGTTTCCCCACCCGCCCCCTTGGGATTTTTCTGTACATAAGCTGGAGTGAGGAAACTTCTAGAAGCAGAGCTGAGTCATTGTCCCCCAGTGGAAGTATGGAAATTCTCTTCTGAGGAAACTGAGTCCCATAGGCGGAAGGTTCACCCTAATTCTACTCTCATTTAAGTACAAATACGCTTTTTTTTTAAAAAAAAAGTCTGTCTAGGGGCGCCTGGGTGGCTCATATGGTTAAGCATCTGCCTTCGGCTTGGGTCATGATCCCAGGGTCCTGGGATCGAGCCCCATGTCCAGCTCCTGGCTCAGCGGGGAGCCTGCTTCTCCCTCTGCCTCTCCCCCTGCTCGTGCTCTCTCTCTCTCTGTGTGTGTGTGTCTTGAATGAATAAATAAAATCTTTAAAAAAATAAAAAATAAAAAAAAAATAAAAAGTCTGTCTACGTTTGCCGCATGAAATTACGTTTCCAGTTTTGGTTCCCTGGGCTTTCACAGGCCTTCGCCGAATGCACATCCCGTGTCTGTGACTGCCTCGTTTTCAAAGGTATGTTTTCGAAACTGTTTTAAAAACGAAACGTGTGTTGACTTTTCATTTTCTTGCAGCTGCAATATATCTGTCTAGCTTAAGTAGATTTTGAAGCCTGTTGGTAATAATATGGTGTTGGGAGAATTATTTGTGCTGCATTTCCTCTCGGGTGATTCCATGAATAGGGAAGTAGGGGATTTGTTCTGTCACCAGCCAGGCTGGGCTTGTGCTGACGGCCAGTCATGTGCACACACTTCAGAGAAGTTTCCTTGCTCGTGCACGATGGGCGACCTGAATCATACAAGACCTGAAGATCTTTACTAGAAATGGTAGTTCTGAAGAGCTCCAGATGATCTTAACATGTATAGACACAGGCTCCGGAGGTTTTTTTCCCCTTACGTGGCTGATCTGTCCTTTCCCCTTGGAATTCCCGTAAGCACCTCTTCGTGGAGGAGACTTGTAGGTGGCGCCACGAAGAGCGACTCCTAAAGGAGGAATAAATTTAAGGCAGGATCTTAAACCTCTGTAGAGAGCAGAGGCCGACTTCGAGAAACTCAGTGTTTCTCGAACATTGCGTCTGTTACAATGGACTCAAGTACGAGTCGTCAAGAAGCTTATTTTCCCCTTCCAGCTGGTAATACAGAAAACAGTTCCCATTCTGGTGTCGGTGGGGGGTGTCTGGTTGTGGGGCCCACTGTGATATGCTTGGGGCCGCCATGGGCTGTTTGGCCGCGAGCGTTTTGGATGAGACTCGCTTCCCAGAAGAGCAGGGGGAGGGCAGGCTCAGCTGGTTCTCCGTTGACAGAGGACAGGTGGGTACATGATCCTGAGTTCGAACGGTATGGCAGGCACTCTCTAAGGACTTTTATGTGTGTTGACTCAGTTTACCCTTCCACGACCCCATGAAAGGGCTGCTTTTATTATCCACATGGTAAAGAGGAGGAAACCGGACGATGTGGCAAAGTCACTTGGCTCTTGTGTTGGAGCCAGGATTTCATTCCAGGCGTCCGGAGGCTCGGAAGCAGGTGCTCTGCACACTGGGTCTTATCTGCCCTTCTGTGCAGGGCGAAGTCACCCACGTGCACGCGAGCACGCCCCCTCCACGCGCATACACGCGCTTTCTGGGATGCAGGCACAACCCAGCTGCTTTCTTATCCTTCCCTCCACATGTCTGCTTGCCCCTCCCCACGTGTGCTGGGACGCAGGCCTGTCGCTCCCCAGCAGGTGACAACGCGTGGTTCCCTCTAGCTCTTCTCGGCCCAGGTGACAGGGCCAGCGCCTTCCGTGGTTGCCCCCCCCAACTCCACTGCTTTGACTTGTGTCCCCATGCCCTACCCCGAACCACTGCGCTTCCTTGGCGCGGACGATCCATCCCTCTGACGCGAAAACTTCACCGTACAGCAGTGAGCTCCGATTCCCAGTAACAGCTTTTTTATTTTCCGTTCTGCCTCTTTTCCTAAGAAAAGCTCAAATCCTAGTTTGACTGGCACCTCAGTCCTGTAAAGGAAATAGGCACCACGTGAAATGACTCTTCCTCCCAGGAGCGCGGAGGACGTTGCCCGGATGAGCGCAGACGGATGAACGGAAGGCCTCCCCAGCGGACAGGATGGACAGTGTTGTCACCAGGCATGCAGAGAAGGCCGTGGACCCAAATTGGCTTTCTGGAATTCTAGGCTTCTCCAGTTGCTGTTATAAAAGCAAGCAAAACAATATGCTGACATGGTGATAGATAGAGTCCTTGACATTATTTTTCCAGGCTGGCTAAATTTCCCGATGAAATCTGTAGATAAAGTGGTGTTGCACATTTAGACTGGGCGGGCTTCTGAGTAAAGAGAATTACGCTGGCAATGCGGGCTTAAAAAAAAATTTTTTTTTTCTTTTGGTGTTAGGAATACATTAACTGGAGTCCCACAGGCTTTTTTATTCTGGAAGGAAAGGAGTCAACATTCTTGTTAGAAAAATTCAGATTTCTTATTCTTGGTGCCAGGAACTTTAGCGTTCTCTGTTAAAAACAAAACCAAACAAAAGACCAAAAACACTTCTCTTTTTTTTTTTTTTTTTAAAGATTTTTATTTATTTATTTGACAAAGAGAGACACAGTGAGAGAGGGAACACAAGCAGGGGGAGTGGGAGAGAGAGAAGCAGGCTCCCTGCGGAGCAGGGAGCCCGATGCGGGGCTCGATCCCAGGACCCCAGGATCATGACCTGAGCCGAAGGCAGACGCTTAACAACTGAGCCACCCAGGCGCCCCCCAAAACACTTCTCTTTAGAATACTAATTGCCGCCCCCCCCCCACCCCCGGCTGGGTGATTGGGTGATTTTTATGTGTTTTCTTTTTTCTGGAAAATCTCTCTGGCCATCTGGGTCCTCTGAGTGCAGATGACTGTCCCCCCTTCCCTGGGGGACGTCCTGCAGCCGTGAACTCGGCCCTCGGCGTGGCCTTGGCCAGCCCTTTCCGAGTGTCGTTCGTGCTGTGGGTCTGTTTAATGCCCTCAATGGAAGGACTTTTTAAGCCTTGTGATTGTATGAATGGACTGTCAGCAGTGAAAATCGTGAAAATTTAATGCCTTGCTTTCTCTTCCCGAGTGTATGAGGAATATCTAGCACATGAGAAAGTGTTGTATGAGATTTCATCGGCTCCAAACCTGCAGACTCTCCGTTCTTTTCTTGGCAAGTGGTCACGGACGTTAGCATTCAGCTTCCCAAAGTTAGCCAATTTCAGACTGTAAAACCAAAACCCAAGATTTGATTACTTAAAAAAAAAAAGTGTGTGAGCCGTGTGTTTACTCTGCTTTACGCTATCATGTATAAGGTGCGTAAACGTGCACACCTCCACTTTTAGTGTTCTTTTTCTTTTTTTTTTTTTTAAAGATTTTATTTATTTATTTGAGACAGAGAGAATGAGAGAGAGAGAGCACATGAGAGGGGGGAGGGTCAGAGGGAGAAGCAGACTCCCTGCCGAGCAGGGACCCCGATGCGGGACTCGATCCCGGGACTCCAGGATCATGACCTGAGCCGAAGGCAGTCGCTTAACCAACTGAGCCACCCAGGCGCCCAAATAAATAAAATCTTATTTTTAAAAATTTTTTAAAATTTTTTAAAGTTTTTTTATTTATTTATCTGAGAGAGAGAATGGGAGACAGAGAGCATGAGAGGGAGGAGGGTCAGAGGGAGAAGCAGACTCCCTGCCGAGCAGGGAGCCCGATGCGGGACTCGATCCCGGGACTCGATCCCGGGACTCCAGGATCATGACCTGAGCCGAAGGCAGTCGCTTAACCAACTGAGCCACCCAGGCGCCCTAGTGTTCTTTTTCTATCAGGAAATGTGCTGGTCACATAAATAGACTTCTGTTTTCTACAACTGAGTGGCCACTAATAGTGTGCCTGTTTTCTCTTAGAATGTGGAATTTTCTTGGTCGCGTTTCATGGTCGGTTTTCATGACGTCATGGGGAAAAACGCTTCCGACTGGTGCCTTGGCAGAGGCGGGAGATTGTCAGAGTTTCCCTGATAAAATGTTTATGGGTTTAAGAGGTTTATGAATCAGCTGTAAATATTTGCTCTGGGTTTATGAGGCCTCCACTCATAAACAGTGTGTGTGTTTATCTATTGCTCATTGAAACGTCTTTAGAGAACGGGCTGTTCGGGGAATGTGTGTGCCTGGAGGAAGTACTATGAGTTACAGGTCAGGAGAGGCCTAATTGTAGGGGACCCTAAATTTTGTGTATGATTTTATTGTTTAAAACTACTGGTGCTGGGCACACGAGCTTTAATTTTTAAAATCCCATTCCAGGTTTGACTTTTAAGTATTTTCTGTGGACCGTGGAGCGTGAACAGCACTCTCTGTAGCAGTGTTCTTAGCAACTCGCTGGGGGGTCACTGGGGGACCTTTCCGTCTCTTGGTGACTTGAACGAACACCGAAGTGACGCCTGAAAACCATCTACAGCCTGTTTATTGCAGGAAGAGAAACATGGTTTGTAATGAATTAAAATTCAGTGGGAACTAAGTTGTGGGTAGAATGCTAGTAGCCTCGATTGGAATTGTATGAAGAGTGAAGAAGCTTAGCGAGCGGTCTCGAAGCTGAAGCTGAGAAATTTAAGCCACGGTCTCACCCTCCTGGACGATGCCAAGCGATGGCGTCACCGGTCCTTCCAGGCGTGGTGCTGAAGCTCATCCAAGCTTTCTAGCCCCAGGCACTGGCTGCTGCAGGACTTCCTCCTCGTTCTGTCTCCACGCTGGTGTTTCTGATGCCAGGGAAGCCAGCACTCCCTAAGAGAGCCCTTCCATTTTCCAGGAGCTGGTAATTCACCCAGGGGCTCTCCCAGGACCTTCTGCCTCCGAAGGCCCAGGACTGAGTTTCATGGCCATGTCATCCCCCTGGTTGTGTCCTCCTGCCAAAGGCTCCAGGGGCTCTCTGCACACACTGTTTTCTCTGAGCTTGGCTACTGCCTCCTGCCTTCCCCCATCTCCTGCATCTTCCCGCTGCCGGGCTTGGCTCTCGAATGCTCTCATGCTCACCAGTACAGAAGACAGACAAGCTGGCCCTGGAGCCTGCCTCGGGTGGTGGTGGTGGAGCACATACGCCCTACGCGTGGTGCAGGCAGAAAGGAGACATGGAAAGGTGTCTCGGGAGAGTTCTAGCTTGAAACCCGACAGCCCGAGTCAGATCCTGCTTCTGTGGCTGGACAGTTGCGTGGTCCTGGTGACTGCGCCGCCTCCCCCCCCTCCCCCCGCCTCTCTGGGCTCCCGTCATCTCTTCTGTGCAATGGGGATGGTAGTCACCATGTGTCAGGGTTCTTGGAAGGAGGAAACAGGGTGATGCACATAAAGCAGTTAGCAGAGAGCTCGTGGAGTTCTTGCCACGACCCCGTGGTGGCTCTATGGGGCTGGAAGTGCGTGACCCTGGCTGGGGCAGGCAGGCCTGCAGGTGGCGTGGGCTCTACGGGAGCCAGACAGGTGGGGTGTAGAGAAATTACAGACTTCCTTGGAGCCAGGCGCCCTGAGCAAGTGAGACGTGCGCAGGCATGCTTCTGGCTAGTGCATCAGAAAGCGAACCTGGTAATCGATGCCTGCAGCCTTTTGGGGAAAAGAGTTGTGCATAGAGTCGTCGGGCGACACCCGGAGGGGTTTTCCAGAACGTGACTGCTTTCCTGCGGGTTTGCCTCACCGTGTGTCAGCAGTATATCTTGTTAGCTGGCTGCTGCGGGATCTGCTGATTTTTTTTCAGGGAGCCTGTTTCCAGTGGAAGGACCTAGATCCCTGGGTAAAGTGGAATGTTGGGAGAAAAACAAGGGAAAGATTTTCTCTTCAGGGAGCTTTTCTTTTTCTTGCACATTTAATTACAAACCAGCTTACGGGGGTCAAAGTTGAGGAGGCTAGTTCCAAGCAACTTTGATTTAGAAGACAAAATTTAAGGTAACTGCTTTTAATCTAGCATCTTCTGGCTTTACAAAAATGATCTTCTGCCCATTTCTGAGACTATACAGAGTATCGCAGGAAAATTACTTTTCCCACTTACAATTGAAGAAACCTTTGGTAGAAAAAAGGTTGTGATAGCCTGCAAGAATGAGGCTTTCTTTCCTAGAGCCTCCTGTTGCTGGTTCTCCTGGATCACCTGCCAGGATATACCACTTCTCCATTAATGACATGACTGAGAGCAGTATTTATTTTTGGCCTGTGAAATAGGCTCTTGCTTATAGAAGATACACAGGTTGAACATCTGTTGAGCATTATTGCAAGGAAAGAGAAGCTAACCTTTGAAGATCTTACTTATCCACGTGTGTGGATAACCCCTAACCCCTACTGCTCTATGTTCTTTTTTTATGATATGATAGCCTTGCAGATAACGCTGAAATAATGTTTACAGCTTGTGAGTTCTTTCCATTGGAAACTGTGATGTAATATTGTTATCCGTGCTTTAAAATGAGTTATTTGGTTCTTTTTGACTATACAGATTGTATCTTCCGCACAATCTTAAATGTTCTGAGAATTGCTTGATCGGTTTGAGAATTGCTGGTTGGTTTCTGTCACTAAGTTGCTAGGTGACCTCACATACTGGAGCAATCCTTCTGGACCTCCCAGTAGTTTTTTCCTTGGAATAACATCAGAGTCAATGCTTCCTGAAGTCCCTTATGACCCTAACAATCTGTGCTCTTACTTTATAATCTCTAGCCGTCGGAAGTAAACACGTGGTCAAAGGTGCTCATGCTGTCTACACGTCAAGGTACCTCCTCAGTGCCCGATGGTTTCTTTTACCCGGTCCTCCAACCTCCCCGGAGAAGGGAGTGGCCACAGTGACAGCGGCTGATTCCAAACAAGTACTCTAGCAGGCGGCAAATGTGCCCCGAAACAAATCTCGTTTCGTTCGCCTGAGAGCGCCTAATTTTACCCTTGATTTTGCCAGCGTAATTCAGGCAGGATTTTTTCAGTGTTCCCTTTCCGTAGTCAACACCCCACAGCCAGCACACCAAAGCCGACAGTATCAGCAGCATCCCTTTTTTCTTTTCTTCAAGGTTTTTATTTATTTATTTGAGAGAGCAAGAGAACACAAGCAGGGGGAGCAGCAGAGGCAGAGGGAGAAGCCGGCTCCCCGCTGGGCAGGGAGCCTGACGCGGGGCTCGATCCCAGGACCCTGAGATCATGACCTGAGCCGAAGGCAGATACTTAACCGACTGAGCCACCCGGGCGCCCCTCAGCAGCATCCTCAACAGGATCCTCCTGCACGGTTGAATTCCATTGTCTCTTGCATTAAGGATTTGTCGCTCTTCGTGGAAGGCCCGTGCCTTTCCATTCTTCACTCTGGTGTTGATAGTCTTCTTTTTTTCCTTGTCTTTTGACAGAAGAAGGCTCAAGCCTGGAGGAAATTGGCTTTAACTGGGGAGAGTATCTGGAAGAAACAGGTACCAACGCAGCTCCTCACACGTCCTTCAAGCATGTACGTAACACCCCTCGTCTTTCTGGTCTGCATTTGGAGAGGGGGAGGGGCGTCTGCAGGAAGATGCCGAATCTTTGGGAAGAAAAGGGAAATTGAGGCAGGATTTCTTAGAAATCCAGAGGTGAGGGGGACGTCCATTTGCTTTCCACAGACAGCTGCAGGAAAGATGGGCCTCGTCCTCATACTTGATGTCTTCTGGTAATGGGGGCTGGGCCCAGGGTGGGTCTCAGTGTGTGAAGGACAGTGTGCACCTTACCCTTATTCTGCACCTGTGTGGCCCTGCAAAGGGCACACAGCCTGAGACAGGTAGGATTGTTGGGAATAAAAAGCCAGCAAATGAAGAGGTCAATACATGTGATGAGCAATATCATCTAAGACGGGTAATGGCTGTATATTTTCTATTTTGAATGGATATTTGTATTTCAAAAGGACACCTAAAAGTCTTACAACCATCTGTGGGCAGATGAGTGAAATTAGAGGAAATGACTGTAAATATTCAGAACACATTTGGATCAAACCAGAAAATCATTTTCATCAGTAATATTTCTTTGAACAATGCACATAGCGTGCCCTGCCAAGGGCAAGTCCCGGGAAATAAAAGATGGAGGATTTATCAGACTTTTGCTTATGTATGAGATTTTGGTAATATATCATTAGTGAGGGAAAGACTAAATTTTCAGGACCCAAGTTCTGAGGCATTACTGTAGCTTTACTGGAAATGAAAGTTTAATTCTGAGAAACAATTTTTTTTTCCCCCCACTGGGCTATCCAAAGCAAAGATTTAGCCCAAGTCTGGTAAACAAACTGGGGCAGTTTTCTAGCCTGTTCTTGCTTTTGGCTCTTTTGCCTCTTAAAATGCTGGGATGACTTGGCTAGATCCCTTGAGGGGGTTTGGGAAAGAGATACTGATCCACAGATTTTTCCCTCCTTTCTGTACCAGGAAGTTATCAGTATTTCTCCATGTGGAGCCACCCTGTTCTCTTAGATCCAGTCATGTCTCCCACTTCCCTTTCAGCCACAGTGTGGTTTCCTTCTGGACGCACAGTTTCCCCAGGCCCATGTGCCAGGTTTAGAAGAAGAGGAGCATGGACCCCTGGACGAGCCACGTATAATCCCAACATCTCTTAAGCAGGTGCTCCTCGAGGATGTCAGATGTGTGAGCTTTCGAATGTTGTGGCTCACCAGGCTGCAAATATTAATAGACCATAACCCTTAATTAAAAATAAAAAGAAACGCGTTCTCCAAGGCTGTGCTATTCTTGAAGTGGCCGCTAGCCACATGGAGCTACTGAGCATTTCAGATGCGTGCTGTCCTGAACGGACAGGTGGTGTGAATGTAGAAGGCTGGCTGGATTTTGCAGGCTTCCTTGGAAAAGAACAATGTAAACCAACTCTGTGTCTTTCATGTTGATTACATCTTGAAATAACAATATTTGGGATATATTGGGTTAGATAAAATACATGAGTAAAATGAATTTCATCTGTTGTATCTTTCTAATTTTTCGTGTGGCTGTTAGTAAACACAACATCTGGTGGGTGGCTTGCGTGGTATTTCTCTTAGTGCTGTTCTAGGGTGAGAGGAATATTATTTTTAAGTGCTGTGTGTTTCGTAGTTCTCGTCCTCTTCTGGGTGTGTCCGATATAATCACATTGTCCCCGTGTTTCTCTTTCCTGAAGGTTGAAATCAGCCTTCAGAGCAATTTCCAGCCGGGGATGAAGTTGGAGGTGGCCAATAAGAACAACCCAGACACGTACTGGGTGGCCACGGTCATCACCACCTGTGGGCAGCTGCTGTTGCTACGTTACTGTGGTTACGGTGAGGACCGCCGGGCCGACTTCTGGTGTGACGTGGTGATCGCGGATCTCCACCCTGTGGGGTGGTGCACGCAGAACAACAAGGCCTTGATGCCCCCGGACGGTAAGTTCCCCGCATCCCGACGGCCGGGTGGCCCACATCCCGAAGCCTCTCCACTCACACGCGATCAGCGTTCAGGATGCTCGTAGAGCCTTGAAAACCGATTTATTGGGAGGTCTGGTGCTTTGCAGGTTGCTTCTTGAGTTTCAGTGTCGGGAGAGAGGGCTCCAGAGTGGGGGGACCTGGGTGCATTTTTACTTGTCCACTGAGCCCACCGGGGCCTTCTGGAGACTAAGACTGGGCATTTTTTAATTTATTTATTTATTAGAGAGAGAGAGAGAGAAAATGAGCTGGAGGGAGAGGGAGAGAGAATCTGAAGGAGACTCTGTACCGAGCACAGAGTCTGACACTGGGCTCGATCTCACGACTGCAAGATCATGACCTGAGTCGAAACCCAAGAGTCGGCCACTTAACCAGCTGAGCCACCCAGGCGTCCTGAGACTGGGCATTTTGAATAGTCACATAGAGCACCTGGAACAGGCTTCTCTGATAAGTTTTCATCTGTCTTCTTGTGGGGAGACTGTCAGGGTGGGAAGCATGTAGAAAACTGAACAGATGTGGAGAAATGACATTACTCTCTAGGGAATCGTCAGAGCTTGTAGAGATAAGATCCATTTAGTTGCTGGAAAACAGTGGTTCCCTACAGTGACCGTACCCGCCAGGGGACATTCAGCCATGTCTGGGAGCATTTTGGGTTACAACAGGGAGGGTGCTCCTGCTGGCCTCTAGTGGGAAGGCCGGGGTGCCACACAAGACAGTCCCCGAACCAGGGAGTCATGGGGCTCGAACTGCAGTGGCATGGACTTGGAGAAATCCAGAAGGAGCTCGTCTGATCCCGTAAGTGAGAAAAGCCGCGTTTCCAAATATTTGAATCTTCACACCCTGTTTTCAGTGTTCGAATCTGCAGTGATGGCAGCGGTGATGCTTGAAGACTTCGGATGCTGATGCTCAAGCCTGTGTCATGTCTTCATAGTACCTGTCTGCCTATTTTAATTGTGACTTGATATCTTTATTTCCACCTGACAGGTAACGTTTCAGAGCTAATTCCGAGGTCCTTTTTGTCCACCATATTGGCAGTTGCTTTCGCCCGGAACTTTTGGATTTTGTCTTCTTTCTGAAGTTCTTATATATTCTTCTGATTGGTGGGAATGGTCTGTGCCTTTCTACTACCCCGTGTCCTGCGTAATTGAGAGCCGGCTGAGAGGCGGTCATGGCCCTATAGACCCATGACCATGGAGCTTGAGTTGTATTTCTGTGACGTTTATAAGGAAAGAATACATTGCCTGGGCCTCAGCTGACATCGTGGCCCCTGAGTGCCCCAGAAGAAAGAGAGATGGGCCCTTCTGTCCTGCTTTGGGTCATTGCATCTGTGCTCCCCCATGCGCAGGCCCTCCTCCCACCCCAGCTGTGAGCTCATAGGCAACCAAGGTCAGACCCTGTCTTTGCTCACAAAGGCGCTGGTGCCCTTGGAGTTGATCACATCTGCAGCTGTGCCCCTCGCCCCCCCTTATTGATACTTGAAAACAAATTGAGTGACGATACACATACTGTAAAATTCATCCCTTGGAAGTGTGCCCTTCAGTGATTTTTGGCATAGTCACAAGGCTGCACAACTGTTGTCATTGTCTTAATTCCAGAGCGTTGTCATCACCCCGTAAGGGAACCCCGTGCCCATTGACCGCCACTCCGTTCTCCCAGTCCCTAGGTGCTGGCGACTGCTGGTCTGCTTTGTTTCTGTGGCCTCGTTTATGGAGACACACGGAATCGCAGAACGTGAGGCCGCTTGCGTTTGGCTTCTTGAACTTTGCATCGTGTCCTGGAGGCTCCTCCCTGTTGTTCAGCTCGTGGGTCAGGACTTCATGACTTTTCCTGTCTGCGTACTATTCCGCCAGGTGTCTACACCACACTGTGCTTCTGCATTCGGCCGTGGGTGGGTGCAGGGTGCAGCCGTAGTCCCTGTTCTGTGGTTTTACCCCAAATGGCGGGCTCCACAGTGGGAAATTGCTCACTTGTGTAGCCCAGCACTAACACCTGCCCTGGCGAGTTCTCAGTAAGTGCTCATTGACGGAGTGAATGCTCTGCAAGGAGGTTATTACCTCTGCTTATTACATAGATGCCCTTAGGAGAGGAATCCTTGTTGTTATGTCCACGGGTAGTGCCTTTCTGCCTGGCCTTTGAGTCAGGGCTGGTTGTGTCTTTGGAGCCTTGTTTCTGGTCTCTCTGCAGAGGGAGGGGCACTCGTGGGCCGTGACCCGCCAGCCCTTTGTTTCTGTGTCCCGTCCCAGTTCTGTGCGCACACATAGTGGGTCGAGCTGGGTAGAGCTCTCCTCAACGTGCCCCGGGCCCGGCCTGTACTGTAGGTCTGTCGAAAGTGACACTTTTATATTTCTCTTTTTTTAACCCTCTTTACAGAGTTTTACGTGCGTGGAACCTTGTGAACTGTAAGCACAGTGTCAGCCCATCCCTAGAACTTTCATGTCTTGCATAACTGAAGCTTTGTACCCACTGAGCAGCAGTCCCCCAGTTCCCCTCCCCTGGAAGCCACCATTGCATCACCCGCTTCTCTGGGTTTGATCACTTCCGATTCCTCACCTACCTGGAGTCGTGCACTGTGTGTGCTTTTGTGACTGGCTTACTTTCCCTCAGCATTGTGCCCTCGAGGTTCATCCGTGTGCAGCGTGTCCCAGGATTTCCCTTTTTTTCCTTCCAATTTTATTGAGATAGAATGAAGCTACAGCGGTGTGTGAGTTTGGTGAACACCCGTCCTCTCACAGAGATACAAAAAGGAACCAAAAGAAAATATGTTTCTTCCTTGTGATGAGCACTCTCAGGAGTTATTGTCTTAAAATGTCCAAATATACTGCACAGCAATGTTAGCTGGAGTCCTCATGCTGTGCCTTTCGTCCCCTGTACGATCATAACTGGACGTTTGTCCCTCTCGACCTGCTTCATCCAGTTCCCTTACCCCCCCATGCACGGCCTCTAGTGACCGAATCTCCTTTAGTATGAGGGGTTTTGTGTCTTTTTTTTTTTTTTTTTTCTTTTGAGTCCACATAGATGGTACAGTGTTTGTCTTTGTCTGTCTGACTTATTTCACTTAACATAATGCCTTGGGGGCCATCTGTGTTGTTGCAAATGGTAGGATTTCTTCGTTTTCTTATGGCTGAAGAATATTCCGTTGTCTATACATAGAGTGAACATTTAGGTTGTTTCCGTGTCTTGGACGTTGTAAATAATGCCACTGGGAACATGGGGGTGCAGGTATCTCTGTGACATAGTGTTTTCCTTTGGGTAGATACCCAGTCACAGAATTCCTGGATCATAGGGTAGTTCTATTTTTAATTTTTTTGAGGAACCTCTGTACTATTTTTCAGAGAGGCTGTACCGATTGGCATTCCCACCAACAGAGCGTGAGGGTTCCCCATTCTCCTCGTCGCCAGCATGTTACCCCTTGTCTGTCTGAGGATAGCCATTCCACATGTGTGAGGTGATACCTCCTGGTGGTTTTGATTTGCATTTTCCTGATGATCAGTGATGCAGAGAAGTACCCGGATGTGCTCTTTGGAAAAATGTCTATTCAGAGCTGCTTTTCAGTTTTTCTTTTTCTTTTTATTGAAGTGTCATTGACACACATGTGACATTAGTCTCAGGTGTATTAACACTGTGATTCAGCTTCTCTGTATCTTATGCTTTCCCCACAAGTGGAGCTCCCACCTGTGCCCATATAGGCTGTTATAATATCATGTATTCTGCATGCTGTATCTTTCATCCCCATGATTTATTCATTCCATAACTGGAAACCTGGGCCTCTCACTCACCTTCACCAAATACATGAAGGGAAATGGGTGAAGCTTCTGCCCATTTTTTTATAAAGACTTTATTTATTTATTTGAGAGAGAGAGAGACAGAGAGCACGAGCCCAAGTGGGGGGAGGGGCAGAGGGAGAGGGAGAAGCAGACTCCCTCCCTGAGCAGAGATCCCGGGACCTCCGGATCATGACCTGAGCTGAAGGCAGACTTTTAACTGACTGAGCCACCCAGGCACCCCTTCTGCCCATTTTTAAATTGGATTTTTTTTAAGCTATTGAATTGTATGAGTTCTATACATATTTTGGATATTAACTTCTTGTCAGATCCATGGTTGCAAATATTTTTTCCCATTCTGTAGGTTGTCTTTTCATTTTGTTAATGGTTTTCTTTGCTGTGCAGAAGACTTGTTAGCTGGTTGTTGTCCCAGTTATTTATTTTTTATTTTATCGCTTGTGCTTTAGGTCTCATGTCCCAAAAGATCATCACCAAGACTGATGTCAAGGACCTTCTTTTTCCTGTGTTTTCTTGTAGGAGTCTTATGGTTTCTGGTCTTACATTGAGGTCTTTAGTTCATTTCGAGTTAATTTTTGTGAGTCGTGTAGATAGGGGTCCCTTCTTTTTTAAGACTGAGTAATATTCCATCTGCTTTGAATGAAAATAGCCACGAGGTGAGAAGATACAGTGTCATGTATGATTATTTGATTTCCTTGCGGTCTCTGTCCTCTCATGAAGTAAACCAGTCTGGACGGATGATATGTGCTGATGGAATATTGGGAAAATATCGGTGCTACTCGGAGAACGAGAAATCTTCCCGCTCGCCCAGCTCCGCACACGACGGCCACGTAGCGGTGCTCACACCCCCACCTTGGGCGGGTCCTCGGGCTGCCTCCCCGCCTTCTCGCTTGTCCTTGCTTATCTCATTCACGACTCACTCTCCAAGTCTGACACGTTAGCAGCTAAATGCCCTTGGAAAGGCTGCACAATGGTTTCGCTTTGTAATAGATTCTCTAGTGAATCGTTTCAGAGACATGTTCGAGAGTACTGAATTTTAACACTCTCGGAGCTAATGGGTTCCTTTGGTAGAAATCCATGCTGCTTTGAGAGAGAGGGCATAGTTTATTAATCAATTCTTCTTTCTCGCTTGGATGAAAAATGTGGCAGCAGTCACAGTTCCAGAAGCAACATCAAATTTGT